GTTCACGTCTTGTTTTTGGCCAAAGTTCCATGAGGAACTGGGTACGAGGTTGCATCTTAGCACTACTTATTATTTGCAAACTAACGTTCAGAATGAGCGGACCATTCAGACACTTGAGGACATGTTGAGAGCATGTGTCATAGACTTCGGTGGGGGTTGGGACTCCTAACTTTCCTTAGCTGGTTTTTCTTACAACAATAGTTATTATTCCATTAGCGGTGCGCCACCTTTTAAGCTTCTTTACTGGAGGAAGTGTCGTACCCCAGTCCATTAGGGAGAGGTCAGTCACAGAGTGTTGGGAAGGACTGAGGTAGTCCTTCTAACGTCAGAGCTCATTCAACAGATTAAACACACGCTGCAGACAGCTCGGAGTCGGCAGAAGAGTTATGCCGACAAGCATTAATCTGAGTTGGAGTTTTAGGTTAGTGAAAAGGTTTTGATGAAGGTATCAACCTAGAAGGGTGTAATATGCTTCAAGAAGAGGGGAAAACTGGGGCCCGAATATATCGGGTTATTTTGGGTGATTGCTAGGATTAGCAAGGTAACTTATAGGTTGGATTTGCCTGAGGAGCTTATTCAGATCTATAACACCTTCCATGTTTTGTAGCTACAGAAGTGTGTGACTGATGATTCACCGATTATTAATTTGGATGATTTTTAGGTTGATGATCGTCTGAATTACATTGGGAGACCAATGATGATTTTGGATAGGAAGACGAAGGTCTTGCGCATAAAGATGGTATCTCTGTTCAAGGTCTAGTGGTAGCATCGGAAGGGTTTCGAATGGATGTGGGAACCCGAGTCAGAGATAAGGGAGCATTACCCTAAATTGTTTGCAACAGCGGACTTCGAGGATGAAGTCTAGTTTAAGCGGGGGAGAATTGTAACATTAAATTTAGGCGAGGCATTGCTAAAGTTTAAAGATTCTAAGACTTAACCCTACTCATGACGTAAGCTCTTGTGTGTCATGTTGTGAAGAGGTTGGTGCAATCGCACATCACTTTTGGGACTCACGACGTAAGAATGTAATGGATCACTTCGTGAGGTTAGTCTGGGATGAAACCCTAATTTTGGGGGTTTTACCCCGTATTAAAAGGAAATGAGGGCTAGGGTTAGCCCACTCTCAGCTCCCATCACCTCCTTGCATCTCTTTTTGAAACCCTAGCACTCATATTTGATCTTGAGCTCATTTTGGGTGATTTTAGCTAAGGAAAAGAAGAGGAAGAACATCTAGCCCATCATTTATGCAATTAAGTCTTTCCATCAAGCACCCTCTCACGTTTTGGAGCCTTTTTGAGTTTCAAGTTCATTGCTTTATGAGTCTATAACCTTAGATCTAGGTTTTTGTGCTCAAATGCTTCATTCCCATGATGAAATAGTGGTTGGAATCCATAAAGTTGGAAACTTTATGGATCTTGGTAGTCTCTTAAGTGTTATAAGTTCTAGATCTGGATTGTGGTGGAGTTTTATTACTCTTACATAAAGATTTGGTATCATTTTATCATTTTCACTTTAGTAGTGTTTAGGACATGCATGTCCAAAAAGCCATGATTTTTATGATGCTCTGGAGTGGTTAAGACCCTAGAAAAGATTTGGTTACTTGGCAAAAAGGATTAAGAGCTTCATTAAGAAATATTGTTCAGGGACATCCTCACGACGTGAGACCCTGGACGTCATGACGTGAGGATGGTGATCCTCTTCTATTTTGGACTTATTGGGTCACGACTTGACCATTAGAGGTCACGACGTGACCAATGAATCATGGAATTCACCAAGTTTGGCTCAAGGGCATTTTGGGAAATTGATACTAATTTAGATTGGGAAATGTTTTGATCACTAGGAGTTGAGTAGTGTCGATTGTTAGAGCAGAGATTCATTCAAACTATGTTCGGATCGAGTGGTGAGTTTCCCTCATTGTACTTATGAGTCGAAAGCACCAAGGCCGGCCCATTGGATTGACATCCTGGTTTATTGTATGTTGTTATGCTGTAATGATCTGTTAGATCTGTATCCTAGTATATATGATGTATTTATGTTGTAGTGATCTGTTAGATCTGTATCCTGGTATATAGGATGTTGCTATGTTGCAATGCTCTGTTAGATATGTATCCTGACATATAGAATGTTTTTATTTTTTAGTGATCTGTTAGATTTGTATCCTGGTATATAGGATGTTGTTATGTTGTAGTGAGCTAGTAGATCTATATGACTACCTGTATCTACTAGCTATTGATTGTTATGGTATACATTGATATGTGATGGTTTACTGGGTTGAGGCGGACCAGCTGAGACTGAAGGCCAAGACATCCAGGGTGGTTCGAATACATTGAAGGCCTGCGAGGCGAACTACTCAGGTCGAAGGCCTAGAGAACGATCAAGATAGGCTGAAGGCCCGGTGAGGCGGTCCAAACATGTTGAAGGCTTTGTATGCATGTTGTTGCTTGTTATGTTTATGTGGTGGTACTTTTGGGGAACTCATTAAGTTTTGGCTTATAGTTTTAGGTACTTCTAAGGACTGCAGCAAGGCGAATGCGTGACTGTACACATCCTTGGTTTTATGTTGTTGGATCTTGGGATACTCTGATTTTGAATAATATTTTTTGGCAACATTGGTTATGTAAACACTTTTTAAGTAAATGAGTTGTTTTTGAAAAGTTTAAAGTTGTGATTTTCGAGATGTTACAAAAAATCATAACCTTTTCATACGAACTCTTTTTTCGACGTTTTTTTTATATCCACGTGTTCGTCTTGGCGACTATTACAACTTTCATGTTGATCAATTTATCACACACACACACACACATATATATATATATATATATATATACACACACACACACACATACACACACATATTTCTTGGGATACAAAGACAAGTTGAATATTGGCTTGTTGGTAAAAGAACTGGTTTATAAAACTAAAAGTCTAAAGTTCAAAACTATTTACTTACTTGAAATGCCCCATTTAGTTATTGAAACAAAAATTATATCCTTTATATTAATTTTTTTTAATATGCTGGCCTATGTTTGTCAAGAGAAAGTAATAAAAGTCGTTTTAACGTATGATAGCAAAACTCATGGAACGGACCAAAAGAAAGATGAAAAAGTTTTTTATTGTTATACTTCAACTTGCATGAACTAATACATATATCTTGTTCTAAGTTTTTCAATAATTCTTTTTATACATATTATTATACTCTTTAGTTAAATTTTTTTAATTTTATATTACTGTATTTGTTTATATCAATGGCTTTAGTTTCAAAATCGACATTCAAGTACAAGACTTTACCGGTGTGGTATCACTTATGTTATTTGATCGTGACACAAAGAAACTTCTGGAAAAAATGCACAAGAGTTGCTTTAAGAGTTTAATAAGGTTATCGATGTTAACTTCATTTATATAAAACTAATTTTTTACCTTTTGTTTATCTATTTTTATAACCATTTTTAAATTTTTTTTTTTTATGAGTGTAATATGGAGATTTATCCATTTGCTTTAAATGTACTTTTCAACAAAAATTTGGTGACCAAATTCAAATTTCACATTATAATTTGAAGAACAAAGTTGATGGTTATGTAATCTCAAACTTCACTGTTGATAATACAATCATTTTTGAATTGGAAAAAAAATTAACATCGAACAGAAAACATTCTTTTACGAAGAATACTACAAACATCTCTAAATATTTTTAAAAGAGAACCCTTAGTTCACCAATAAAGCAATCAGGACCCTTAATTGCATTTCAATCCTATATTTTCCACCATTAGATTTGAATGCTGACATCATATTTTTCAAATAAAATTCAAACACACTTACATTTAATTATAGAATCTTTAATAATTATAAAATCTTTAAATTCAATAATTACATTATCAATTATAACATATCATTCTATTTATATACGAGATATTAGTTTATCTAATTAATATTGTTCCTAATTTAACTCCCGTATTTATAGCTTCTGGTTTTAAAATTCAAACCGTTTAGTTTTTATTTAATTGTTTTTTTTTTTAAACTCATTAAATAAACATATCAATAATTTGGTCATTAACCTAAAAAATATAATCTAATCCTATTAAATTAGCAAAATATTTAAGAGTAAAAAAAATCAATATTATTTATAATTTATCTTCCGGTATATCCCACGTAAAATAAATCAATGCGAGATAATGGTTTTGAATTTAAAACTCATTAATTAAGCAAGTCAGTTAAATTGAAATTTTGATTCAATATAAATGATATCATTTTTTTTCCATATGAATAACCGAAAATCTCAAAGATAATATCTTAGGATCCCATTTTTTTGGAAGATAATGATTTCCTTATTGAAAAACAACATATATATACGATTACATTGAAGTTGTTCTTCTTACGATTTTGGATTGAATCGTATGATTTACAGTGTTCTTCTTCAACAGTTTTATTCTATAATTCTTTTTTTAGGTTTTCTTTACCCTGTTCTTCTTCTTCTTATACAATTTCTTGTAGTTACGTTGTTCTTATTCATGTTCTCCTTCTTCTTCTTCCACCTATTAATATAATATATATGTAATTTATGTTCACCGCGTTTCAACGCGGGTGATAATCTAGTTATAAAACGAAACATAAAAATCGATATTACTCGAGTTAAATGCTCAAAAATAAAAGCTTTTATATTCTTCCACATTTTCATGGATTTCATAATAAACATTTGTAATTCATTTGTCAACAAGCGAGACTCATTTATCATTCGATGTAACAGACGAGAATCAATGTCACATCACCATATTTTTCTTTCAAACGCTAAAAAAAAAAAAAAAAAAAAAAAAAAGCGACACTAAATTTTCATTAAGAGTTTATATCAAAAAATTTCCATAACAATTAATGATATAGCTAACGATAAAAAGATAAACTAAACTACTATGAAATCGAACAACATTTGTATCCTCCACTACTACATATAATTAAATATATATCTTAAGGTTGTTGATTAAAGGATTCTGCGAAACATTGTTGCATGGTTAAAGGGTTGTAAAAGAAATGAGTTTCCTAACTTTTTGCAATGTTTGTTCGTAAACATAAGCCTCGCAGTTCTTTATTGAGTTATCATCTTTGACTTCAATCGTTAACCTCCAATTCATGCCACCTACAATCTGAGTATCACCTTTGACTACACTTTGAAACTTCAACGTGCTATTCGTATCTTTGTTGTGTTGATCAACTGCAAACTGACCCACCTCTATCACCGCAGGATCATCTGGGCTTGCGATCTCTAGCCAGTTGCCCACTGTCTTTTGGCCATTTTCAGCAAAACAAATACCAATACAGAAGGTCAAGAGAAGAGGAATGACGATGAGAAAGAAAGATGTGTAATGACTATAAGCCATTTTTTCTAAGGAGGGGAAGGTTTGATGCTATTCTTGATTTGCTATGCGTAGATTGAGATGTTGGTTGTGGTATTTATAATCTGAAACGATTACTTGAACAACAAATGCTCAACTAAATATTTTAAATGCCACATTAATATGTAATAAAGAAGTCAAAGTCAACGATTTTGTTCATGGGAAACAAGTCACCGTTACCCAACTCCGATATGGAAAAGAAGGCTTTAATTACATGTATTTATGTCCAGGTTGGTTTTAGCTCAATATTTGACTTTCGTGTCAAAAGTTGAAATCGACCGAATGATCAATAAATGATGGGGTTGGTTTAACTTTATATTTGTTTTTCTATAAAAAAAAGTTAAAACTATATATTTTTTTCAAAAATAAATGAATAAAACTTGCTTTCCCTTGAGTTTTCTCGATGATCAAGATGTTCAACAAATATTTTTTCTTAGCATGATACCGATATATGACTATAGGTGGATGGGTTCCAAAAATAATATGTGAGCAATACAGGTTTAGACTTTAGACTATGGGATTATAATTTCTGGACCCAAACATTAGGTTTGATTGTATATATGTGTGGGTGGTTATCATCTTAAACCATAAAATCGGTCGAGCTTATAAATATATTATTAAATAGTCATTATAATTATATATTTTATTAATTATCCATAATATCAAAAAAAAAAAAAAAACATTATCAATTATAAACTTACCTTTTCTGTCATGTTATTAATAGTATTTTTCATCAAATTGTTACGGTGAATTCTCAACCACGGCCAAAGAACGACAAGACTAACAGCATAACACAAGCAATAATGTCATTTAAGTAATTTAACTTAAATGGATTGGAAAATAAAGAAAAGTAGAAACCTAGCCATATTTGTTAACGACTTATTAAGTTTTAGCCATAAATTAAACAAATGCAGAAAATAGTCATCAAAAGATGATGCATAACAATGGCGATTTCGTCCCTCGCCTACGATTTAATTTAAGGGCTATGATTTCGGCTTAGTTTTTGCCCAAAAAGTCAATAGTATAAAAAGCAAAAATCCTAGATAAGAAAAAGCTCAAAATCGCAAATGTCACATAGCCATGGAGATTTTCTATGTTCTCACCTGCTATTTTTTATTATTTTTTCCTTTTATATATTTGACATTTTGACTCCAAGTTATGACATTTTCTCTATGATTTATGATATTTTGGTTATATCGTTTTGACTATAATTTATAAAATATATGAGAAATAACACAAATGTCCTACGAACTTTCTAGAGTTGGTCATTGTAGTTCCTAAACGATTTTCGTGGCTTTATGAGGGAACAATGTCGTTTTTGTCGGGTCGATTACATCCTTTTAGGCAAAGTGAAAGGGTCACCCGGTTACTCATTTGCCATATTGACATTTGTTGACCAATTTTCTCACATTTTCTTTGATTTTTCCTCTATCCTTTGACCCACATCTCTCTCTCTCTCTCTCTCTCTCTCTCTCTCTCTCTCTCTCTCTCTCTCTCTCTCTCTCTCTCTCTCTCTCTCTCTCTCTCTCTCTCTCTCTCTCTCTCTCTCTCGCGTGCGCGCGCATCACTTCCCTTCTACATGTGGGTTTTAAGAATCATATGTGGCTATTAGTTTTAATCCACAAACAAGTAAGAAAAATGAAAGAATATCCGGTGTTGCAAGGAGGATCTCGTAACTGATACATCCTTGTGTTGTTGAAACGTTCACGAAGAGATCGTTGGAGGAAGCTTAATAAACAAAGTCATTTAGAGTATGTGTTTTCAATTGATCCTTCGAATTTCTCGAAGTATTTGATCCAACTACAACAGAATCTAATTGATTAGTCGATGAAAAAATGTTGTTTGTATACGGAATACGGGTCGTACGATTTGCAAGTACAGAATAAATACATAAACGTAGTTCAGAACCGGAATCACAAAATCCATCTGCTACTAATCACAATGTCATGTTTGCCAAATATAGCAACCATATCCTGTAGGATGTTATATTGACTTCCAATAACCTCGACCATTTTTTCACTTTCATCTACAACCACTAAAAAGAGGTCCATTTTTACTTCCATCTACAGATGCTAAAAAGAGAAATAGTATTATAAGTCTTTACTCTCCACTTGATTCACTAAATGTGCATTGTGGTAAGTTCAGGTTATATTGCCAAGTGGGGTGTTAATGGATGGTGGGCCTAGAAATCATTATTGCTCATTTCTCCTGGATGTGGTACTTTCGGGTTTGGCGTGGGAGGAATCCAGGAAAAATCTATAACACCCATCAAAATCAAGTCAATTTAAAACTTTTTCAACCATTCAAAACCATTAAGTTATTACAAAGTGTTTTCAAAACCGTTTAAACATTAGAGTATCCCATAAATCCATATCATAAAAATGCGAGGAGGTGCACGATCATACCTTCGCCTTCCCGCGGTCATCTGAAGTACCAGAAACAAAATCCAAACTGTAAGTCCGAAGCTTAGTGAGTTCCCCCAAAATACCCATAAACACAATAATATACATATAATCACAAACAACATACTATGGGTCCAATCAACCATCGGGTTGGAATACCCCAGACCCTCAACCATTGGGTTGGAATGCCAACATACTATGGGTCCAGTCATCATCGGGATGGAATTTCCTCGGCCCACAACCATCTAGTTGGAATGCCCACATACTATCAGTCCAATCATCATCGGGATGGAATACTCACGACCCACAACCATCGGGTTGGAATGCCCAAATCTATTGGCCCTCGCACAAAGCAGATAACCCTCAACCACTGATATAACATGTGCACATATATCAGATAATCACATAACAATCTACAGACAAACAAACCGATCTAACATATCATAACAGCATAATAACATCCTATCTACCAGGATACCAATCTAATAGATTATAATAGCATAATAACATCCTATCTACCAGGATACCGATGTAACAGATCATAATAACATAATAACAACCTGTTTACCAGGATACCAATCTAGCAGATCATAATAGCATAATAACATCCTATCTACTAGGATACTAATCTAACATATCATAATAACATAATAACATCCTATCTAGTTGGATATCGATCTAACAGATCATAATAGCATAATAATGTAACGCCCGTAGATCCAGGCTAGACAATTTAGAGGCAATAAGTGTCGAAAACGACTTTTCAACAAATGACTATTTAGAATAAATAATCTTAACCAAGTTGTATAATATATCTCAAGGGTTCCGTACATATAAAGAACGCCAAAATCCGATTTATAACGAAGAAGTTATGACCCGTCGAAGTTTTACGGCAAAACCGGCACAACACCGGGAATCATAAAAAGTGAATTTACGATAAAATACTTTCTAGCCTTAGCGATCTAAACGAAATTCTTAGTATATGTTAAACCAAGAGTGTGCATAAAAAGAACGTCCAAATCTGACTTTTTATGAGGAAGTTATGATTTTTCTAAGATTTAGCATAACAGTAAACAACCTAGAAATTCGAATTTTAGATCCGTCGACTTTTAGCCAAAATAATCTAAACGAGAAATTAAGATATCATTAATAGGAGTTAAACGATAAAAATACAGTCAAAAATAGAGCTCATATGCAAAAGATATGGATGAAGCTTAGTCTCTACTCTTCAAGCGCGGCGAATTCGATACAGTTTTGTAAATCTGAGATAGAATGAGAATTAGCGGACGGGATCTAAATGAAAGTTGTAGTACTCGTAAGTACCAACGTGTTGATATAAATAACGTCGAGAATAAAGCTTGTATGTTAAAGATATGGATGAAACTTAGTATCTACTCTTCAAGCGCGACGAATTCGAATACAATTTTGTAAATCTGAGATACAATGAGAATTAGCCGACAGGGTCTAAATGAAAGTTTTAGTACTCGTAAATACCAATGTGTGGATATAAATAACATAGAAAACGGAGCTCGTATGCGGAAGATACGGACAAATCTTAGGGGCTACTCTACGATAAAATCCCTATAAATAAAGGATGAATCCTTCATACTTTCTTCACATCATAAGCCTCTCGTTCTCTCTCTACTTTCTCTCTCTAAGCCCCCTAACCTACCCTAAGCCTAGGTAAACCCTAGCACCCGAAGGAAGCTACGAGGCTCCTTGAGTCCTAAGAAAAAGGGTCTTTTGGTTCGGAAACGTTGCTCCAAGCGAAGCCCGATTTTCGAGAAAACCCGCTGTAAGTGAGCTACGCCTACGATATTTTTATTATAGCTTTTAATTAATTATAGTAACGTTATTAGGACCTTATGGTAATTATTTGGGCTATTATTATAGGTTATATAAGTGTTGTTGTAATATCTTTTTAACCACTCGCGGTACGGGGAATCTGGTTTGGCGGGCCGCTTGGGTTTGCTGGATTCAAAAGTGATATATGCCAAAATAATCATGCCCTCCTGTGTTTCATGTCTGACCCCTGTCTATACATAGTGGGTGAAGAGTATTGTTTAGCACTTATATAATAGTAATAATAGCTAGACTATTAATTAGTCTCGGTAAAACGTTAGACTAAACTCTAGTGGTAATGGTACTAGGTTTTGTCGAAGGAAATTCTTTTAAAGTAAACGAAGTGTTGTCCAAGAACTGCGTCACCACCTTATTAGGTGAGTGCATAGTTACTTTCATCTTACACATAGATATGAAGTATTTAATATAAATTACGTGTTGTGAGTGCATAATTACTTTCATCTTACACATAGATATGAAGTATTTAATATAAATTAAGTGTTGTGAGTGCATAGTTACTTTCATCTTACACATAGATACGAAGTATTTTATATAAATTACATGTTATGTGTGCATATTATCTGAATACTTGCTATCTATGTTGGATGAACGATTTTATACATGCTTTAAATGAATTAAACTGTATATGTATTTTATATCTACAAAATAGGTTAGGTAAAACATGGGTAGATGAAATATGAGTCGGATGATGAGATGAGATGCGATATAGACCATGAGATA